AGCATCCAGGGATTTTGCCGTTCCATTCACCACCATAAGAGATGCCGTATTGAATCGCTACTCTCTTATTTTATTCGTATTGTAAATTTTATATTATTAATATCTTTGAATGAAGAGCGTCAAGAACCAGCCGAAAAGTAAAACAACGCAGCTCCCCTACAGAATATCACCAACACGCATATACAAATAAGGGAACATGCAAAAATGACGTAGCATTTGAGGGGGGAGGTGGGGGTTTCAGAATTTGTCACCGGCCATGTATTGGATATAGCCAAATACGCTACGAGGGGGGGGGGAGGAGTCTAAAATTGATCAAAAATATGCTACGTCATTGTTGGATGCTCCCTTACAGAGAGCAGACAGAAATGGGCTAGAGAGCATTCCCAGCAGTAGCTACTAGCGAGGAATGACCGGAAATACACATGAAAGTAGAGCGGGCGAAAATTGATAAAGAGAACGCAAAGAAACAAAGGATTGAGGAACGACAAAAGAAAAAGGTTGAGCGAGAGAAAAAGAAGAGAAAAGAATGTTGGAAGTTAGAAAGCATTATAACTTGAAAAGGCAATGGCAACAATGGAGAACAAGAAGAAGAAAGCTGCGGAAAAGAAGCAATGAAAGATCTGCATTTTTATGATTATTACTCTCTTGACGTTTTAAATTAAATTAAGTTATAGTCGTTAACTTACCAATTTTAATTTCCATGCACAAAACGAAAAACTAATCCTTGATGTCAGTTCATTGTCTTTTTTTGTTGGTTTCGCCATTATAGGGCTGCCATCTTAGGAACCGGTTAATTTATCGCTTGATGCCAGTGGGTTGGTGGAGCGTTTCCATTATCGGTGTATTAAAGATGTTTCGGCAGTCTTCTCTTCAGTTTGCTATTATTGATTCAACAACATTGTCCAAGCTACACCGCCCAGTTTAGTCCCGGTTAATAATGTTTTGTAGCGTTGAGCAGGGGTACCCCCAAGTTCCAAAATATGACGCATCTTGCACGTTATCACATGCTTTCGAAGACCTCGAAGTTGTGATCGGAGGAAAACTCTAGTAAGAATATTTAACCCAAAGCACTGGTATAGAATAAAATTTGGAGGAAATGAATCCTTAAACATGATATTAGTTAGCATAAAAATCCAGAACAGTCAGCTTCTTAAATAAAAAGAAATCAGTTGCCTCTCCTTTGAATCGATTGGAGCATCAATTAATCTAACGCTGATATCACTAGTTAAAAAAGTAAAAGTAAAAAAAAAATGTACTTGAACCTTTGACGAATGATTCTAATCTAAAATCATGCACTGAATCCAACAATGTAGTCGAAAAAAAATGTCAATAGGAAAGTTTTTGAGACACAGCTAAAAATGAAAATTCACTTTAAACAAGCTTGATTATTATAATACAAATATCTCCGGTTGTAATGAGATTATATCAATTATGTGAACGCTAAATTAGAGGTAAGAAAAATTTTCGTTCGATCAATTGAACATCAATTGTCAGTGAGATCGATGGTATTGTTTTTAGTTAATAGTTTGTTTTTTAAGTTTTCCTAAGAAAAATTGAATTTCTGCTAAGTTTTTAAGCAATATCGATAAAATGTTTATAGTGGTTCTATCATTACTCTCACGAAAAATAGTGTTATAACGATCGAAATAAAATTTTATCACGTTTAATTTGGTGTTAAAATAATTCATATTACTTCATTGCAGCCAGAGGTATTTGTGTTTTAGTTTTTTTTTTTAAAGTAAGATTTCATTTTTTAGCTAGGGGAAGGAGGGGCATAGTGAACAGGTGGGGCATAGTGAGCATCCCGCACTTTGGCTCTGGATCTCCAACTGCATGAAACAAATCAACTGGTAGTATGATCAATATCATTATGATATTGATCCTACAGCCAACAAATTTGTTCTGAACGGCCGAAAGTCCAAGCTGGAGCACGCGATGCTCACTGTTCATATGTACGACGACTATAGTGGAGCACGTTATCGGCTGAGATGCTGGCAGTCCATCTCATCTCACATCTCACTACCATAGTAATCGTGATCAAAATCGGCTTCACCAATACCAGTGCATCATCGATCACCGATGACCGATAATCGTTTGATGGGATTTGCCCCCGCAACCGACGTTCGGGGACTCAGTCGATCTCTACCGCTCATCAGCTCCGGTGTCGTTTTGAACGATATATGCTTTGTATTAAACGTCGATAAATGTCAATAGTTTAAGTGCAAATATAGAAATTAAGCTCAATAAATTAGTGGAATTTAAGTTAACCCATAATAAAGTGCTCGTGTAGTGTTCATTCAATCAATTGGAGTGCTTGTTATTCAAAGAATTGAAGGGGAAAGAACCGGCAACCCATCGTCCAATCAACTCGGCTCCTTCCAACTGCAAGGCACAGGTAACCTTCGACCGACCTACACATTCACCCCATCATTTTGGTCCTTCGAACCGGATGGTTGAAGGTACCATCCCAAGGGACGGACGACACGGAGAGGTCACGAAAGGTCATCCCTCCATACTGTGTGGTGACAATTACTATTTAATTTATTAATTTATCGGGAATATGTGAGTATCATTCCATTTTCCCTAATCTGTGCGAACGGTGTGACCCTTTGGTGCTCTCCTTTTACTTTTCCGGTGAGAAAGCGCAATTCGTGTAAGGAGATCGACAGGACAGTTTCGAGATTATTCAAGGCCCGATTCAGTCGGGAGCAGCTGGTCTTATTTGAGCCTAGAGACAGCTCTAGCCATCCCAATCATCCAACCCCCGGACCGCAGGTACCGGTCAGGCTGCACCATTCTTCCATTCCCAACGGAAGTGATTGGATCGACCAGGAGAGTCGGCCATTCGTTTGCACGCGATTCGGAGGAGTCGCTTGGTGGTTATTCGACCTTTTACATCCCATTGCTTGGAGGAGACGCACGGTAGTTTTCCTGTAGTCGCAGTTCTTACCAATAAATTCAAGGCAAGAATTTATTGGGAGCAGGTTAGTACCTCTCCAAAAAATATTCCTCGATCCCAAGGGTGCTCCTTGTGTGTTGTTTTCTGTTTCTCCCTGGTGTAGCCATCGAACGTCATCATTACTACAGCCAAGACGTCAAGGCTGCGCACAAAGCAGATTCGTCTAAAGAACCTGATGACGTCATTCGAGGGAATTTACGCATTCAAGGAGCAGTACGACGAGACTACTCGATCCTGCGAGATGGCTTCGCGGTTGGAGAAGTTGGAGCCACTGTGGGATCAGATCAATGAGCTTATGACGGAGGCGGAGCTGGCGGATAGTGAGGAGGAATCTATTGGGGAGAGGTATGTTAAGATTCGAATGGACTTTCAGAATAAATTCTTTGCCATAAAGGGATTTCTACAGTCTAAGCTTCGGGACCATCCCGATCAAAGCGCAGCCCTGCATAATACTATGGTAAATGAGTCCGCCGCTAACCCCCCTTCGCACCCCCACGTTAAGTTGCCGTTAATTAGTTTGCCGAAGTTTTCTGGTAATGTTGAAGAATGGTTGTCCTTTCGAGATCTTTATCTGTCGTTGATCCACTGTTCTGCTGAATTACCGGAGATCGAAAAGTTCCATTACCTACGGAGTCAATTGGAAGGAGAAGCTTTAGCTGTAATTTCATCACTTTCACTCACTCAAGCAAACTATGTGGTGGCATGGGAATTGCTGATGAAGCGGTACTCCAACAGCAAGATTTTGAAGAAAAAACAAATTCAAAACTTGTGCAACCTTTCGTCAGTGAAAAGAGAGTCATACGCCGAATTACATAAATTGATGGAAGGATTCGAGAAGGCAACCAAGGTTCTGGATCAGATGGTGGAATCAGCGGAATTTAAGGATCTTCTCCTGATTCATTTGCTGAGTTCGCGGCTGGACGATAAAACACGACGCAGTTGGGAGGAACATTCTTCCACTCTTGAGGAGGAAAAATTCAGCAATATTTTGGAGTTTTTGAACAGGCGCATTCAAGTTCTGGAGGCACTTCCGAGTAAATTGGTAGAGATTAATCCACCCATCAACAAAAACGTTTTCCCATCCAAGGTTGTTAATCATGGTTCACTTCCCGGCAATTCTTATCCAAATAGGTGTGTGTCTTGTTCTGAAAACCACCCACTTTTCACATGTCCTGCTTTCGGAAGGCTTCGTGTTGAAGACAGGGAGAAATTACTTCGTCAAAATAACTTGTGCAGAAATTGCTTCAGGAAAGGGCATCAAGCTCGGGACTGTTCTTCCAAATTTTCGTGCCGTCATTGTCAGGAGCGCCATCATACACTGGTCTGCTACAAACCGGAAGAAAAGTTTCAATTAACGTCGCAGCCAAGCGTACGAACAGAGGAGTATACTGAAGGAGAAGGTTCGGATTCTGAAACATCAACGGCTGTTGCGGTATCTGAAAGGCCTACAGTTAGCAGCAACATTGGGAGATCGGCGCGCAGAGTTCTTCTGGCGACAGCAGTGGTTTTGTTAGAAGATGATTGTGGAAATAAGGTCCCCGCAAGAGCTTTATTGGATTCTGGTTCCGAGTGCAACATTATGTCTACACGCCTCTCCCAGAAATTGCGTGTTTCGAGGAAACGAGCAGATGTAAACATTTCCGGTGTCGGTCAGGCTCCCACTCAATCGAAGGAGAAGGTTCAAGCTACAGTTCAGTCTAGGCTGACAAAATACTCGCAATTTATGGAATTTTACGTGCTACCAAAGGTTACTGAAGATCTACCAACGTCCACGATTTACGTCGAAGACTGGGAAATTCCAGAAGGCGTCGAATTAGCTGATCCAGAGTACTTCAAGACAAACACAATCGATTTACTACTTGGAGGCGAATATTTTTTCGATTTCTTCCCATGCAAACAACGAATTTCTTTGGGTGACGGCCAACCTTCGTTGGTCGAATCCGTTTTTGGGTGGTTGGTAACAGGACGATGCGGATGGAATCGAGGAGGAGCTCCAGTAGTATGCCAACACTCGACGGTATCAGATTCCCTTGAACGTCTAATGAGTACATTTTGGGAGTGTGAGGAAGGATGTACAACAACCAACTATTCGGTGGAGGAAACCAAGTGTGAGGAACATTATCAGAAAACGGTAAAGCGGATGGAAGATGGTCGTTATTCGGTGGGTTTGCCTAAATCCAACGAAGTACTTGCACGCCTAGGAGAATCAAAGGAAATAGCACACCGCCGATTGATGCTGCTGGAACGAAGATTAGCTCGAGATGAATCTCTTCGTAAGGAATACCATGCATTTATGGCCGATTACTTGGACCGAGGACACATGCGGAAGATTGACGAGCACTCAACAGAGGTACCCGTTTCCTATTATCTTCCACATCATCCAGTCATTAAGGACTCTAGCACCACCACTCGCGTTCGGGTGGTGTTTGATGCATCTTCCAAATCATCCACGGGAATTTCCTTAAATGACGTTCTGTTGAATGGGCCAGTTATCCAGGACGAATTACGTACCATCATCATGCGAGGTCGTTTCTACCGAATCATGCTTGTTGCGGATGTCGAAAAAATGTTTCGGCAAATATGGACTAACCATATCGATGTTCCTCTGCAAAATATTCTGTTTCGCTTTTCCGTCGAAGATCCCGTTCAGATGTATGAGTTGTTGACCGTTACTTACGGCACCAAACCTGTACCGTTTTTAGCTACACGAACCTTAAAGCAGCTGTCCATGGATGAAATCAACAACTTTCCACTAGCAGCCAGAAGAATGTCCAAGGACGTCTATATGGACGATGTCATCACTGATGCAAACGACGTAGCTGAAGCAAGGAAAATTCGGATGGAGCTAGATGAAATGCTGCTGAAAGGTGGATTCCGGTTGCGCAAATGGGTTTCAAACAGCGAGGAAGCTTTGGAAGGGGTGGATGAATCCAATTTGGCCATTCCACGGGAGAAAGGCATCAATTTCGACCAAGAACAAACGGTAAAAACTTTGGGCTTGATATGGGAGCCAAAAACGGATACCTTTCGATTTAAAATCCAATTCTCGTCTCCTGAGAAACCAGAAATGACCAAGCGGAAGGTCCTCTCTAACATTGCAAGGGTGTTTGATCCTTTAGGAATGATTGGTCCGGTGGTTACAAGCGCAAAAATCATCATGCAGCAGATTTGGCAGCTGAAAGACAACAATGGAAACCCTGTTGGCTGGGACGACGTTCTTCCTGAATCGCTTCTAGAAACTTGGTTGAAATTCTACTCACAATTACCTAAGTTGGATGAACTCCGCATTCCGCGTTACGTGATTCTAGATAACACAATCAAACTTCAGCTCCATTACTTTTGCGATGCTTCGGATAAGGCCTACGGAGTCTGCGTTTATGCCCGATCGCTGGACGCTTGTGGACAAATCACCGTCTGCTTAATTTCGTCCAAATTAAGAGTTGCACCGCTAAAACGTCAATCAGCTGCTCGATTGGAACTTTGTGAAGCTCGATTAGTTGTAGAACTGCATGAGAAGGTAATGGAATCTGTAGAACTCCGGTACGAAACCTTTTTCTGGACTGATTCGAGGACTGTATTGCAATGGCTAGCACAGTCGCCGGACACCTGGACGGCTTTCGTTGCAAATCGTGTATCCTTCATCCAAAATCATACCCAGAACTGTCATTGGAATCATGTTCCAGGCGTCTAAAACCCATCTGACCAATTGTCACGTGGATTGGACCCAGAACAAATCATGGAAAACCCCAGTTGGTGGCACGGTCCAGCATAGCTTACAGAGAAGGAGGAACATTGGATCAATCACATTACAATCAGAACGGAGTTCACGCTCAACGATGCAGAAGATGTTGAATTGGAGAGGAGAAGAACTGTGGCTGTTGCTTTACAATCTCCGCAAGAAGTATTCAATACCTGGTTTTTTGGTAACTTCGCTAATTATTTCACTCTTCAGCGAGTTACTGCTTACTGCAGGCGATTCATTTACAACCTACGAACTCCTTCCATAGAACGAAAACGCTCGTTCCTTACAACCACGGAGCTACGTGATGCTGAAATCTGTCTCGTGAAACTGGTTCAGCAAGAAACTTTCCAACGGGAGATCCAAGCATTATCCAGAAATGAACACGTTCATCGCTCGTCCAAACTTCGTTGGTTCTACCCTAAACACACCGAAGAAGGAATCATTCGTGTTGGAGGTCGACTGGAGAACTCGAACAGATCGGCAGAAGCAAAACATCCGATGATCATTCCAGGAAATCATCACTTCTCCAGGCTACTTGCAACGTCCTACCATCTTCGGTTATTACACGCAGGGGCACAATTAATGCTCAGCACAATCCGACTCCGATTTTGGCCATTGGGAGGTCGGAATCTATGTCGCCTTACAACGCATCGCTGTCTAACCTGCTTTCGAGCGAAACCACAACACCAGCAGCAATTCATGGCACAACTACCGGCTTCACGAATAACTGCAGCGCGTCCATTCACTACCACTGGCGTTGACTATTTTGGTCCAGTGTACATACGGCAGGGATACCGAAGGGGGCCGGTGAAAGCGTATGTAGCTGTATTTGTCTGCTTTACAACGAAGGCTGTACACTTAGAGCTGGTGTCGGACCTATCCACTGCAAGGTTCATCCAGGCTTTACGACGATTTACAGCTCAGAGAGGCAAATGTTCTGATCTCTACTCAGACAATGGGACTAATTTTGTTGGCGCACGCAACGAATTGAAGGATCTTCTATGCAACTTGAAGAGTAGCAACTATCACAGTGAAATCCAACAAGAATGCAGCAAGGACGGCATGAATTGGAACTTTATACCCCCCGGTGCCCCTCACTTTGGCGGCTTATGGGAGGCAGCAGTACGATCCGCCGAAAAGCATCTAGTTCGAATGATAGGCAATTCCTCCGTCTCCCACGAAGATTTCCTAACGCTTTTGACTCAAGTCGAAGGTTGTTTAAATTCCCGTCCGCTCACTCCACTCTCCGATGATCCCACGGATCTCCAACCGCTCACTCCAGCTCACTTTCTCATCGGATCGTCCCTCCAAGCGCTCCCAGATCGTGAATACAGCTCCGTCCCAAGCAATCGGCTATCTCATTGGCAAGCGGTCCAACAACAGCTCCAACAGTTCTGGCGTCGATGGCAAACCGAATATTTGACGCAATTGCAAGCTCGTGTCAAAAACTGGCAGCCTCCGATAAAGATTGCACCAGGGAGACTTGTCATCATAGTAGATGAAAATCAACCATCGATGAAGTGGAAAATGGCCCGTATACACCAAATACACCCCGGCACCGATGGCGTAGTTCGAGTAGTTACTCTACGCACTGCTACTGGCTATATCAAGCGGCCTATTACCAAAATCTGCATTCTCCCAATCCAGTCAACGAACGGTGGCGAAGAAGACGGCGATGGAAAGGACGGCGACCAAGAAGATTAGCTGAAATACGGTGATTTCAGGGGAGGTCGGGATGTTCATATGTACGACGACTTACCCTATAGTGGAGCACGTTATCGGCTGAGATGCTGGCAGTCCATCTCATCTCACATCTCACTACCATAGTAATCGTGATCAAAATCGGCTTCACCAATACCAGTGCATCATCGATCACCGATGACCGATAATCGTTCGATGGGATTTGCCCCCACAACTGACGTTCGGGGACTCAGTCGATCTCTACCGCTCATCAGCTCCGGTGTCGTTTTGAACGATATATGCTTTGTATTAAACGTCGATAAATGTCAATAGTTTAAGTGCAAGCAAGTCCATGCTGGAGGCGACTGAGTTCGATTCCCGTCCGGTCTATTAATTTTTGGGGTTGGAAAATTGACGATAGGATGGTACAGGCATAGAAAGCTCTCAATTCAAATGTGAAAGTTGAAGTACTAAGTACTAGAACACTTAGTAGAGAGAAGGCAAAAATCTAATATGCTATAAGCAATAAGCTTGAAATATCATGTAGTATTATACAAATGGTATTTTTAGGCAATGAAAACAGTTTTTTTTGTTTATTTTGACGAATCGTGGATTTCGCGGATCGATTTTAGAAAATCTTGTAACAGCCCTGAAAATATCTCGAGTTCCCAACCAGATAGAAAGGTACTGTTTTCGGCATAGTTGTTCAGGAGGTCAAGGCTTTTTCGCAGGTGGACAGTAGTTCAGTGTTTTCTCACTATGCGGCGCTACTATAGAAAACTCTTGCATATAAAATATCTCTAGATCCTGACCAGATAGAAAGTAAATGTATTCGGCAAAAATTTCCAAGAAGTGAAGATCTTTTTGTTGGGTGACAATAGTTCAGAATGTTCTCATTATGCGGTGCTAGTATATACGTGCCTTTTTCGATATTCAATAGCTCGAGATCTTGATCAGCTAAAAAGTTGCTGTCTTCGGCAAAGTTGTTTAGGGGTCAAGACTTTTTGGCTGGTAAACATTAGCTAATAATTTTCTCACCACGTGGCGTTAGTATACATGTTAACTTCTCGCATATGCTATATCTCGAGATCCTGATCAGATAGAAAGTTACTGTCTACAACAAAGTTGTTCAGGAGGTCAAGGTGAAAATTCTGAACTATTGTGCACCAAGCAATAGGCATTGACCTCATGAACAACTTTTTCAAAGACAGTAATTTTCTACCTGTTCAGAATCTCGAGCTTAGCATACGCGAGCATTGTACACGTTTACTAGCGCGATGTGGTGAAAAATTTCTAGGCTACTGCCAGCCAAAAAGTTGACCCCCTGAACAAGTTTGCCGAAAACAGTAACTTTCTATCTACCCAGGATCTCGAGCTGTTGTATATGCGAGAATTGCAAGTGTATACTAGCACCGAGTAGGGAGAAAATTCTGAACAATTGTCCACCGATGAAAAGATCTTGACTTCCGGAAAAACTTTGCCAAAGACATTTAATCATTATCTAGTCAGGATCTACTGATGTATCACTTACGAGAACTTAACATGTATACGTGCACTACCTAGTGAGAAGATTCTGAACTACTGTTAATCATCAAAAAGACTATGATCTCCTGAACAGCTTTGCCTAAGACAGTAACTTTCTATCTGGTCAGGATCTCATTTTTAGGGGGTTAACTGTGATAAAAGTTTAGCTTGTTTAGTTAAAAACAAGTTTTTTGAGGAATACCCGTTGGTTTCATATCGATTGGTAGCTCGGCGGCAAAATGGCAATGGAAAACTCACACTGTTGTACAAAGTACAACGCGCGAGTACTCGTGTTACAAAAGTTGGCGCGAGTAACGAAAGGCTAATAGTGAAAATTAATTGTGCTTCTTATATGAGTAAACTTTATTACTAGTTCTATCTATTAAGCATAAGCATAAGTGTTATCATGTATGCAAGCAATTTCAGATATGTGTTGAGCTCAACCATAACAATAAACTGTCCTTTTGAGGAAATTAACCAATTTTTCACCCGACCTGACCCAGGTACCCCCCGAAATAACTCTGACCACAGTGACACATATCTCGTATTAGATGTTTCCATAAAACTAGATATAAATCGCCACTTGCACAGAAAATTTCATAAAAATATCTCAACTGAGGAAATAGTGATTTTTTAATTCAAAACTTGATGCCAGACCGAAACGAGTTTGAAGCTTCTAAAAATTTTGTTGCAAATATTAAATACAATTATTTTTAGCAAAAGTTGTACATTTCGAAAGTTGTATTCAAAATTATTTAATTTTATAGCTCACTCAAAATAAATATGATACTAGAAAAAATCAAGAAGTGTTTCTTAATTCACTTATTTCCAATATTTTTAAAGTAGGAATTAAATTACAATGAATTCAGTGACCACTCAGATTACGAAATTAAACCCGAGGAGATTTACAATTGTATTTTTTTTTTGACAAATCATGCTAAAAATTAAAAGCGCTTCACGGGCCGCGCGTTGGTGAACACTGTTTTAAAGGGTAAAACAATTGCAAACGATTGAATACGATTGTATGAGAACGAATGTGGCTGCTCCAAAACATCTAAAATAGGTTCCGGCCTCGGTTCCTGTATAGTTTTTAGAAGCACCTCTTATTCTCTACAGAACCATTCATTTATATAATCAAAACACGCCGTGGGACATACTGGTTGTGAAATTGAAATCGAGCGCGTTGTATTTCTCAGCAACAACTGTACTGAATAGGACACACCAATAACAAAATGAAAGCTGCCATTGTTGAACGTTACATTATATCGTTAGAGCATATAAGGGTCAGATCACAACTTTGATGGATGAATTTAGGTTTTAGTGGTAGGGGTGGAGGAGGAGCTAGGGGTGTAATAAGAACCCTTACTATTTACCAATTGCTTCAAAACTTCGTTTTATTTTTCTCAAATCATAAACAAAATCACTTTTAGGTTAATGCTCGAACGCGATGACAGCGGAAGCGGAACTCCAATCTAAATAAAATAGGATGGAAAACTAGCAAGAACTACCTCGACATCGGTTACACATCTTGCCGTCTCCATTCCGATTCTGCCCATGTTACGTTCGGCCCTTTATGCAGTTTGTTCTAGGAACTTCAGCTTACGCTTCTTGTATTTCAGGAGTTGCATCTTGAACTGCAGCTCCTCGCATTTTTGCTTCTCCTTTTCCAGGATGAGTTTTTGTTTCTTCTTGTAGTGCTCCTTCTTCAGGTTGTAGATCTTACGCGTATATCGAGCCGTCTCTCTGGCGTCGTCTGCCATCCTCTTCATATATTCCGTTTGCTTTTTTAGCATACCTATTGCGACAGGTGATGAGGTTTCGGACCATCCAGTTAGCGAAACTCGATTTTTGTGGAGTTTGCTTTTAGCTGCAATTTAATTTTTAATTCAATTAGTGTTATGTTCACAATTGGTAGCCCGTAGGCATAGTAATTCATTAGTTTAGATTAGTTTTAGCTAGTTACGTTAGGATAAGAACAATTAGCTTTAATGTAGTATATAAATCTTACATTTTTAGTCCCTTTTATGTACTTGTCCTGTGTAACAATTATTAACTTGTGCCTAGTATAATTATTTTAACGTGTGTATCTCGCGAGCAATCTGCCTGTACTGAGTGGGCTACGGACTTGTGGATGATCGACTGCTGATCGTGAGACGATCGTTTTGACGCTCCGCAGTTGGTAATATCTGCCCGCTGTTAATTATTCGGCTGGTTGAGCACCGTCCTGAACATTCCCCGACCCGTATTGCTCGGAATTCCCTAGAGCTATATCAGCCACTTCCAGAACGGCCAACTTTGCCACCGGACGCCGAAATGTTCCAGTAGATGTTTTGACATCCGCGCTACGACACCTGCCATCACGCCCCAAGAATACGCGCAGCACTTGTCCTCTGGTCCAGCCGTCCCGGAGATGATCGTCTACGATGATCACTAAGTCACCGGTCTCAACCGGTTTGGTATCAACGAACCATTTTGTTCGTTTGGTGATGGTGGGAAGGTACTCCTTGATCCAGCGGGACCAGAATTGATCCAGCAGCCGCTGGTACAAATTCCAGCTGGATCGAAGCGCAGATTTATCTCCATAAAGTTGTCTTGGACGTTGATTGACCCCACTAGTACTCAACATCAAAAAGCAGTTTGGAGTTAGGGCTTCGTGCTCTGCCGTTTCTAGTGGCATATATGTCAATGGCCTCGAATTCACCAGTGATTCGGCCTCGACCAGTAAAGTGACCAAAGTTTCTTCGTCGGGCTTACGTTCGTTAGACAGCGATCCTAACGCACACTTCACCGACCGAACCATGCGTTCCCAAGACCCCCCATGTCTGGTGCATATGGTGGATTGAAGCGCCATTGGGTAACATTGTTCGTGAACGTCGCTGCCAAATTCATGCTGATTCCGCGTATTTGCTCTCATAACTCGCGGCTGACTCCAACGAAGTTCGTCCCTCTATCGCTGTAAATTTCCGATGGCGCCCCCTCCGTGCTATAAATCGTCGTATTGTCATTTTACAGCACTCCATCGACAGATTCGATACCAGCTAAAGATGTATTGCCCGGATGGTCAAGCAGGTGAAGAGTGCGACCCATCTCTTTACTACGCGTCGACCCTGTGTAACCTGTAGTGGGCCGAAGTAGTTAACTCCAACGAAACTGAACGGCCTCACGTACGGGGTGATCCTTGCCTCTGGTAACGGTGCCATTCTAGGAGTTCGTGGTGCC